AGTTTGTTGTGGCCAGCGCTGCCCCTCTCCTCACGGTACTTGTCCAGTGATTCGCAATCATGTCCTAGCGCTGGGGCAGGTATCAATCTCCCGATTTAATATACAGCGTATCAGACAGCTGGGGCAATATCTAGGGCCTGGCGGTGTTTTGTTGATCTATGTCCAGCCCCTTCAATCTGGCCACTTAGTGTCACTTGTCTGGGTGTACATTGAAACGATTCTAAACACATTTTTTCCCCTTCACTTAGAAAATTATAAACATTCGAGTTGGATTGAGACGCTCTACCCACCTCCTGTCTTCTAGCTGAGGGACCCCATTATGCCAGTGTTTAGAGATCTGTTGGCGAGATAGTACTAAGTACTCAGACAACTTGTCTATAGGCCTTGTGTTGATCAGATAGATGGATCTTAATACAGAACTATGCAGTTATTGAAAGATATCACAGTCATAAAGATTTGAACCTGTTTCAAGCTACGTTCAGGAATGAGTGGGATTAGTGTTAGTTTTATTAATAGACGGCGTGTTTCAAATACACATGTGCTGCCAGAATCGAGATTCGTTAAAGGGAAACTAAATTCATTGTCATTCTCAAGTTGCCGACTGAGACATGTTGTAATCATGATATGTCAGATTTGCAGCAGTACTGTCCCGGGACATGGAATGAACATCTTCCTAGGAATGTTCAGCACCGGGATGAGGTCTCTAGCCTTTATTATTCTCATTCTGTGTTCCTTTCATGTAAGAAAGAACTTATTAGATTCGTTTTGAAGTCTTTTAAACTGACTAGAATAAATGTAGTCATTTACGAAAATCCTTGAAATTAATTGGAATGAATGTTTTCGTTTGGATCAATCATATCATCTGACTCCAATGAATTGTTGTCATTTTTCTTATTCGGTAAATTTGAAATGATCTACAAATGAAAGTCCAAATATTGTGAGCAGTTTAAAACCACCAAGTTAGAAGAAAGTCACTCAGTGGGATATGTGTATGTGTCCTAACATCGTCAACTTAAAGTGAACTTCAAGGCAAGCCACGTTGTGTGTGTGTGTGTGTATGCGCGTGTGCGTGCGTGCATAGGTCTTCTATTGTCGTTGCATCTGAAATTTCAGCTTATGCCCAAACTTTGCTTCTAAATAAATATTTGTCAAATGTTGAATTAAAAGTCAAAGGAATTAGTTGTGAAGAGAACATTATTATCTTATTCTGAGGGTCAGTGAAAGGGAGAATAAATGTCTCCCATAGACTGATCATATGTTAGCAGTTTAGCGCCACATAGTATAGAAACAATGACGTGTTGTACGGTGTATCAAAGTGTGATGTTTTTTTTACACGGTGTATCAAAGATTAAGGCTACACTATGTATCAAAGTGTGATTTTTTTTTACACGGTGTATCAAAGATTAATGCTACATTATGTATTAAAGTGTGATGCTCCACTGTGTACTAAAACCATAACTGATGACCACGTCTACGAGAAATAAGCCATGTCCTTTATGCACATGACACTACATTATGTTTGTTAACCCTTAAAACGCCTGTGGTAGTTTAGCCCCTAAACATCAGAATTGTAATTCCATTTTGTATGCACTTATTGTAAAACAGCTCAGGGTTATTAAGGGTTAACAGCACTTTATACATTCAATCATTATTATCAATGTTTAATTATAAAGAGTTTATAATTTTAAAAAAAAGTGTGTACAAATGAATGATACGTTATGAAGGTAACAAGCGTTAGGCCAAGATTTGTTGTCGTGGTTTGGACTAGCCAGCTTTTTGCGAGTCACTTAGGAAACAGTCATCAAGCTCTCTCACTGCAAAGGAAGATTTTACATTGGAAAGATAGTGACTTGGGAAATTGGGGGGGGGGGGGGGGGGGGGGGGGGCGGGCAAGTTAAGGTCCTTACTGTAGTCACTCAGCGACTTCCTCCTTGCGACAGATGAGGTTTATAGAGGCGTCACCCCTGCAATAAATCATGTACTTAATAACGTTAATAGTCAACACTGGGACAGACTCACCGACACATGCGTGGCAGTCCTAAGTCCTTTTCACACATCAAGCGTGCTCATAAATAGCTCAATGTTGACAGACGAGATGGACAAGCGCGCGCTGGCTCGTAGATCGCCCAGGGAAAAAAAACTCATTGGTTACTGACATTTTCTTAGAGCCCTAATTTTTTTTTTGTAAAGATTGAGAAGAATATATTCTGATTAGTCTAAAATTATTTTTGGAAAAGGCTTTAGTTATTAGAGAAAATGTCTCACGAACTCGTAGGCGGCCCCTGCGTGTCCGTGGTCAGGTGAGCAATGCAAGTCAATGTACAGGTTTTAATGTTTCTTGAGCATCAACTTATTAAATGAGCCGTTTTTGTTTTGGTTAGATAAAAGCTGCCAAAGTTTTCAAAAAACTTTCTGTACATTTGGGGTTCAAAAATTTTTAGTGATGTTAAAGCAATGTATAGTTGGTGTTTTAGAATAAATGCCGTTCTTATTGAAGTTGGTAAGAATTTAGAAGAAAATTTGATCTTACAATCCCCAATAGCAACACTATATATTTCTTAGGCAGGAATTGATTGGTCGGTAATAAAACCTGTCGCTATTAGCAACGGAAGCTGTTGTTTTGTAACAATATTACTCATGCATATTTATAAAGATATCATTGTCTCTCATTACTGCCTCTGTTTCTAGCTGCCTCTGTACTTGATTGAATTACATCAATGACAAGTCTTTTTTAATAAGAGATTTAAAGTCATTAGGCAAAACATTTAGTCTGTAGATATCAATTGGGCAAAACATTTAGTCTGTAGATATCATATTGATGAATATCCTATCTAATTGGTCGTCCTTGAGTTAAATTTAAAGGCTATGAAACTTTTCAATTTCATGACATTAGTTTCTGTTCCGTTCACAACTTCCTCACTTATGGTTCCAGAATGTTGTTAGACTTTGATATCAAATACTCCCAGCATTCCACTTTGGTCCAGTATGTGTGAGTTAATAATACGCCTAAACACCCTCTTCGCTAACTCCATATGTATCTGCAGTATCCTGCCAACTGTTTTGATAACACGTCGTCCGTCGTTTGGTCAAGCCACCCTCTTTCTCCGATTCATGAAGTGCAGCGAGGGGCTGATGTCATGGCCTGACTTCCTCATCTCATCCCTTTGCTTGGGTTGTCTTCTGTTTAGTGGAACGCCTGGCCCCGTAAAGTCCTTTAGAAATAAGCTCGTTATTCCGAGATGTTACCGTCCCGGGTTCGTATTTTATAAAAATACCCTGATAACGTTAGAACCATTGGGAACTGAATGTTGACTTCTAAAGTTGTAGTACCCGGTGTTTTGTTTGCCTTTTTTTTTTATCTCGTCGCTATTGTTTCTTTCGCTCTCTTTCTTTCGGCAGTCTTACCCCCCACCCTTTTTCACCCTTTCTGCCCCATTGTACTGTGTGTGTGTGTGTTTGTGTGTGTGTGATTGCTTGGACACGAGGGTATATAATTCCCCGTTCTACTCCCCTCTCTGGGCTGTCAATTCCCTCAGCGTTCAAATATTTGCTGACATCTTGTGGTTGCAGTGGAGACACATTCTTGAGGTTAAGTTGACACTCCATAATGTGATTAATAATGTCAAATTATGCCATGGCCTACCCACCTCAAATCTCCACCCCCAGTTCTCTCTCTCTCTCACTCTCTCTCTCACTTTCTCTCTCTCACTCTCTCTCTCACTCTCTCTCTCACTCTCTCTTTCTCTCACTCTCTCTTTCTCTCACTCTCTCTCTCACCTTTTCCCAGAGTTTAGGTATCTATTTCTTGTTTCTAGTTTTCTTTCTTCTTCTTCTTTTAAATTAAACATCCCCCCCCCCCCCGAATGTTTATCTTGGCTCCCATCCCCCCTCCCTAGCCCAATAGACCATAATGTATTACTGATACAAATCTGTTGGTTGGTTGGTTACTAGTGACGAACACGTATTGAATGAAATCATTTTCTACCAAGTTTTTCTTTTTTTTTTTGTTTCGCTAATAGATGTTTCTTTTCTTTTTTATTTTTAGCGGCCCCTGAAAAAGGAAAATGCGCTATAAGATATGTGTGGTCTGTCTGTCCTATGTCCGTCCGTCTGTCACACTCGGATCTCAGAAACAAAAAAAAAAAAGCAATTGAAACTCTGATCTCACGAGATTTAGCAAGTTGAAAAGTTCTCGTGCAATGGCTTCTTGTTGTTTTCTAAAAGCGATCCTTTTCAATTATGTAAGCCACTTTTTCATAAAAACACACCACTTTATTAAATAACAAATATGTTAAGACATCTGCACGAGATGCGGAAAAATATGCAGCTGGCAACTGGGTTCGCGTGTCATGTGAACCACTGCACTCATACTAAGTCTTCGGAAATCGCTCTTCTGACTTATATTACATTGAGTTTTCTTGCCAAAAGGTCTAACAGTCTATTGATGATAGGTTCTCCAGTAGTTGTTTAAAGTGAAAAACAACGTCAAATGATTCTTTGAAATTTTATTACTTTAAACACTGAAAACAAGACTGTATCTTGAATATTCCTTTTCCACGGGAAGATTCGGTGTGGGCCGCCTCTGAGATTGTGTGATAATACAAACTCTTTTTGCAATCTTGTTTGTAAATGAGAAGATTAATACAAAAATGTTTAAAATCTATCTAATTATACCGTCTGAAATGTATTCTGCCTATATGACGGAGAAGATCAATCATTTGGACAACTAACATCTGTTGACATACTAGAAGTACATTTGGATCTTGCCAACGACAAAAAACTGACGCGATTTTTCTTGTCGCCTTATGGTTACTTAGTAAAACAAAATAGAATGCATAGTTTCTTAGAATCTGTTGCTTTTTTTTTTTTAATGAATGGAACTGTTTGTATTTCTTCACTGGTTCTCTATCTTTCATTGGCTCTTTTGTTATAGTTCTTTGTTTTTGTATTATTGGCTCTTTGTCTCTTTCATCAATGTCTCTTAGTTTTTCACCATTGGCTCCTTCTCTCATCGCTTGCTAAAAAGATTTAATCCCTGGCTCTGTTTGTAGCTGCCTCTGTTTTTATTTGATCACAGGCAAGTCTCTGCTACTGGGAAACAACATACAACAATAAACTTATTTCCTAATTTCATTGCCAATATTTATTTCGGAACATGATTCCAAACTACTCCCCTCCTCCTCCTCCTAATGGTTTGTACTAGGGACTTACTTTCGCCTTTGTCTCCTCTTTCCGTCAATCACTTTGATGCAGGACCTAAAACATTACACACTGTCAGACACACCCCTCGCCTTTCCATTTGCTTGTTTGCGTGTGGTGTAACGTTGACGGTGGTCTGTTGGTGTGTGAGTGTGTGTGTGTGTCCCAGAAATCAGACGTCAGAGAAAGGTCTTGTACCAGGGACATGTTGGGAGGCGGGAGGATTCCTTAACGTCTGATTGACAGGCCCGGAATGGTATCGATATCATCCTGGCGACTCAAACTACAAACTTTTACCTTTGTCTACTTTCACTTTCAGTCGTAGACTTTCTATCTATCTATCTATCTATCTATCTATCTATCTATCTATCTATCTATCTATCTATCTATCTATCTATCTATCTATCTATCTATCTATTTATGTATCTATTTATCTATCTATCTATCTATTTATGTATCTATTTATCTATCTATCTATCTATTTATGCATCTATTTATCTATCTATCTATCTATCTATCTATTTATGTATCTATTTATCTATCTATCTATCTATCTATTTATGTATCTATCTATCTATCTATCTATTTATGTATCTATTTATCTATCTATCTATCTATCTATGTATCTATCTATCTATCTATCTATCTATCTATTTATGTATCTATTCTATTTATCTATCTATCTATCTATCTATTTATGTATCTATTTATCTATCTATCTATCTATCTATTTATGTATCTATTTATCTATCTATCTATCTATCTATAGATAGACAAGATGAGGACAAAATAGACAAAGATAAACTAGATGATGAAAAAATAGACATGATAGACAAGATGAAGTCAAAATAGACAAAGATAGAAAAGATGAAGACAAAATAGACAAAGATAAGACTAGGTGATGACAAAATAGACAAAATGAGGACAAAATAGACAAAGATAGACATGATGAAGTCAAAATAGACAAAGATAGACATGATGAAGTCAAAATAGACAAAGATAGACATGATGAAGTCAAAATAGACAAATATAGACGAGGCTAGGAAAAACAAGTTCTGGAGATCAGTTTGGCAAGCAATGCCACGTCACTGTTATGTTAAATGTGATTGATATTATAAAAAGTCTATTGATGGGGCTACTGCTTTTTTTTTTATTTAGTGTTTATTGATTGAGTCACTGCTCTTCAAGTGTTTATTCATGAAGTCACTGCTCTTCAAGTGTTTATTCATGAAGTTACTGCTCTTCAAGTGTTTATTCATGAAGTTACCGCTCTTCAAGTGTTTATTCATGAAGTTACTGCTCTTCAAGTGTTTATTCATGAAGTTACTGCTCTTCAAGTGTTAATTCATTAAGTTACTGCTCTTCAAGTGTTTATTCATGAAGTTACTGCTCTTCAAGTGTTTATTCATGAAGTTACCGCTCTTCAAGTGTTTATTCATGAAGTTACTGCTCTTCAAGTGTTTATTTATGAAGTTACTGCTCTTCAAGTGTTTATTCATGAAGTTACTGCTCTTCAAGTGTTTATTAATTAAGTTACTGCTCTTCAAGTGTTTATTGATGAAGTTATTGCTATTCTAGTGATTATTGATGGAGTTACTGCTCTTCAAGTGTTTCTTGATGGAGTTACTGCTCTTCAAGTGTTTCTTGATGGAGTTACTGCTCTTCAAGTGTTTATTGATGAAGTTACTGTTCTTCAAGTGTTTATTGATGAAGTTTCTCCTCTTCTAGTGTTTATTGATGGAGTTACTGCTCTCTGCACTTTGACGAGTTCTCTATTATTGTAAATTGATCACTGAGTCCAACACAACCAGTAATAGCTTATATCTCCGCGTCACTTGGCAAGTTTGCAGATGATGAACTGGCACAATCTGCTTCCCTGACGATCAAAGTGAGAACGTACGAGTTGTCTCATTGACTCTCCCTTCTCCCGGCGTCAATGAGGTACATCTCATTTAGAAAGTATTTAGTTCCGAGTAATTCATTCCATTCCTTCCGACTCCATTTTGGTCTTTTTTTTTTCTCTGTACCTCATTTGTTGGTGAGTATGCGTCTCGCATGGGCTAGACACGAGTTCTTGTTTCTAGTTGTTTATATATCTTCTTTCAAGTTCAAGGCAAGGGCAGCTACTGCATGATTTGAAAGACAACAAGTCGATTGTTTCTGTGGACCGAATTAGAATGGAAAATAAACCAGCACAATTTCCCAGCTCTTTCTTTAGGAACAGCTTGTAACACAAATAGCTCTAAGTTAAGATGTTTTGTTATTGAGGCTTATTTTGAGTAAGACTACCCAAGACACGAGCTAGTAGCTTACAGATATTAATCTAATAAACAGCAGCGACCCATTCGTTATGTACTGTACTGAACTCTCTAACCCAAGTCTTACACATTTAGGCGTCAGAAGTGTCCAGCTCTGGACATGGCCAGCACGAAAGCTGAAAATTTGTCTGTGGAACCAACCAGACTTTGTCAATATGTTTTGCTTCTATTAAGTAGGTGTTTGAAGTGTCGAAGCTCTGTAGGACACCATTGTTTTTATTTACCAACCATATATATATAAAGATGACTGTATATAGAATTTTTCTAAAACCAAAGGCACAAATGAATGTCTCATGTAAAGCAATAAAATAAAGATATTTTTAGTTAATGTTTTGAGTAAATTAAATTTAAACAAAATTGAAAGTCCATTCACGTATTGCAATCCAGTAGACATCAAAGTTGAACTATAAAAATATTTCCTCAAAGTTGTACCTCTAGGTGTCAAGAGTAAACAGACAAACGTTTTAGGGAGTTTTATACGACGAATTGGTTGACAGTAATCCAACGAATGTTTATTAATTCTAACCCAATGAATGTTTATTAATTCTAACCCAATGAATGTTTATTAATTCACCTTCCCTCGGGTTAGTTGTTTGTTTTTCTTTTTATTTGACCGCTGGAGAGCCACACATAATCTGTCGGCCGTTTTTTTCCTCATTTCTTTTGTCTTGGTTAGACTCTTTAGGAGTCTGTACAGAAGAGTTGCCTTCCATTTCTTTGTGTTGTCCTTCCATTGTTTCCTGGGTCTGACTCTCCTTTAGTTTAGGATAGTAGCGATCCAAAAGTATGCTGGCTACGTTGTATTCATGATTTCTGTTGGTTTGCTGTTGTTCCAAGTTTTATTTCAAACGCAGGCAAATTCCGTTGGAATCGCTTTTCGAACTGCCTGGTTGTGCTGTATACTCTCTGGATTGTCCTTCGGTCGTCTCGATTTCATACCCTACCCGCTGTCACCTCGTCGTCCTGCTGGAGGTTTGGGCTCTAATGTAGATTATCTTCAACTCTGAAGGAACATCCGAAACATGTCAAACATTTGTACAAAGTAACACTAAAACATTAGAGCAATCATGAGCTGTGTTTCTGAGTGACGTGCTTGGCCAGCCGTGATTGACTAACGCTCTTTTAAGTCACCATGTTCTTCTTGTTGTTTGTTTAATTAGGTCGGTGTCCGACTTGTTCCCTAAGTTGGACATCACCTGGCCATGTTCGGAGATAGTGTCTGTGTCATCTGTGACATCCTTTAGATAGAATAAACAAGAAACTGTTATCTTGTAGAGTCCTAGCTACACTTGTAGTCCTAATGCGAGGCAGAAGTTTTCTCTTTCATCAAAGGTACGAACTAATTGTTTTCCCTTAATCTAGAGCTCTTTAGAACTGCTACAGATAACTCAGTACTTGCGCCTTAAATCATCGGCCACCATTCTTTGACATTCCATGACCTAGGACACGCCGGGCCATGTCCACGAATGTCTTCTGTCTGCTAGATTTTCATTGGATTAGTCTTGGTCAGTTTCTCTAATACCTCGTCGACTTGTTTTTTCTTTCTTTCATTAACATTTTGGACTGCAGATCAAAGACAACATGAAGTGGCAACAAAATCTCAATCCGTCTCTTTTTTAGGCGGAAAATTTTAATGGCTGTTACTGTTATGAATAATTCATTTTTGGGGTGGGGGGACATGGGCATCCAATGAGTTTGTTCTTAACACAAACTCCTGTTTTCTACTATCTTTTTCCTCGTGCGTTTTGTTTTGTTTTTTTTGTATTTATAATTCGCACAAAGTATTAGTAATATCCATTTATAATAAACTAGATAAACTTTGGGCATTCAAAGGATCAAAATCAGAACCAAATCTAAGAATTCAACAGTTCATTTATTTCATGGAGTTTGGTTAGTGTCACACCAGAATACAAGATGCTCAGATTGCTGGGCTAGAATAATCTCCCCTACTTCAGCTTTTGTTTTTCGTATCTATACCTTGTTCTCGACAGATAAGAAGATAACAATGATGGTATATTTGTATAATATCACTAGTCATTTTTTTTGTGTCACAGTTTGCAACGAATCACAGTGTTATCTAAATCTTGAAAACCAATGATCTCTCTCGATTTAGTTTTCTGGGGTGAAAACAAACAATACAAAACATCTCCCACGTCTGCTTGATTTCACGTCTCACTGTATGAAGTGTAGACCTAATGTTCCAGTGTATCTGAGAGTTGACCTAATCTTCCATCGTTCACGTGGTAGAAACTCTTGTAGTCTGAACAAGGACAGACAACTCTTCTCATTAATTTTACTTTCTGGTGTCCCCTGAACGTGTTTTCATTTTAACCTACAAGTCAGCAGGCCGTGTCAGGTGTCATTGTCTGCTGCAGGATGTCTTAAGTCTTTACCTACAGAAAACTAATGGCAATACTTAGCTGTTTTATTTATGGTCTTCTGCTGCACAATTTATTACCTCAGGTATTTGTAACTTTTTTTTTAAAAACTTTAACCTGAAATGTCCAATGTGAATTCCAAAATGACTATAATGTATAGTTTACTGTATCCCTAGACTTCTGAAGACCACTGTTATAATACTAGTAAAGCCTAAAACTATAATTTTGTTTGAACTCTCGAAAGACTTTGTTCTAATAGTTCTATTTTTAGCTCTTTTTGTTTTATTTATTTTTTATATTTTTTTGAATTCATGAATTTCCCTAGCTTCACTTCATAGTAAAATAGAAACTGTTGCAAACATGACTAATGCCAACCGAATAGACTAGTACATCTACTATATTTGAACAGCGAATAGTCT